ATCCGTTGATAAATATATAAATATTCAAAAATTAATGTTGCAATTCCCTCAGTCAAAGAATTTTGTTTATAGTTTTATGTCATATAGCATGTTTAGCTCTTCCTGTTTCCAAGTATTAATACTTCTTTAGCTTTAAATCTTCTGGGGTTGAGCATTCCTGATTAAGGTTACCCAAAAAAAGTACTTCAGATGCATTATTATAAAGAGTTAATTTCATATTGCAAAATAGTGTATTATTTATCGTGCATCTTATAATCACGCATTTGGAAGATATGACCTAGCAGTTATATGAAGGTACAACAGACAGAAACTTTTCACATAATGTATTTCACATGATGGATATTTGTTTGACAAGTTTTCCAAATGATCTTTAATTTCCTATTTTATGGAATTAACGAATCTGTTTTTAAAAAGACTGGTTTGTCCATGATTTGTGAAAATCATGCTCCAATACACATATTAACTGTTGAAAAAAGTGAAATAGCAAAAATACCGAACTCCAAGGAAAATTCAAAACGGAAAGTCCCTTATCAAATGGCAAAATCAAAAGCTCAAACACAACAAACGAATGAAAAACAACTGTCATATTCCTGACTTGGTACAGGCATTTCCGTATGTAGAAAATAGTGGATTAAACCTGTTTTTTAGCAAGCGAAACCTCTCACTTGTATGACAGTCGAATAGAATCCATTATATTTAGATGTTGAAAATAGGATGATTTCGGAAAATTTTATAATGTTAAGGACTATGTGGAACACTTAGAAAATTTGTATATGAAACATGTGTGAAAAGAGTTTTAGATTTTATATGTACATCATTTTTTCCGTTTTTGTCGATCAAAGAGAGGGGAAAGATACCAAAGGGACATTCAAACTCATGAATCGAAGATATACTAACAACGCCATGGAAAAAAATAAAAGGCCCAAAAGACAAACAACATTTAAAAAAACACAACATAAAAAACTAAAAACTGAGCAACACGAACGCCACCAAAAAATAAATGGGGGTGATCTCAGAATGGTAAGCAGATCTTCCTCAACATATGGCACCCGTCGTCTTGCTCCTGGAAGTAGAAATTCGGTAATAAGTCTAACTCGGTAGGTCACATTCGAGAAAAAAAGAAATGGATTGTGGTTACGACAATTAATTATGTGAAACAGATATTCCATAACGGTCAACCAACTCGAAAATTGATTTCAGATTGCAATATGCGCAAAGATTTTTTTCATATCAGTATAACAATCTGCTATTGTAATGATCTCAATGCACAAGGAATACAAAATATGCACCTGCAGCTATATTTCTACTTTTAATGGTCGGAGAAAACGAAGAATATGTTGTATCAACGTTTAGTGACTTTTCCAGTCTAGTTGTAAGAATTGTAACCTAAGTCAGAAGCATAGTTAAATCTGAATCCTTTAACCAAGGATTTAACAAAGGGTGAAATTTAACCACAGGATAACAACAGAAAATAACCTTGGGTTAAATTTTAACCAAGAGTTATGATATTTAACCGCTGGTTAAAATTTAACCGAGAGATGAACAACCGGGTCAAGGTTAGAGAGTGTTGCTTATTACAAAAAAAAATATCAAACAGAAGCAAAGAGCGTAAAACTTTACACATTTTATCAAACAATAAAGACAAATATGAAGAGTGGCACTTATATATCATCGGCTTTCAAACTTTGGGTTCAAGCATTCCCGATGAAGGTCAATCAAGAAAAGCATTCATTTAAGATTTTTCTTTTCTGTTTTTTAGACGCACTACATATAAAGTTTTATTTACAATTTTAACATTACATTGACATGATTGAACAGCAAATCCGAGGACTTACCTTGTTTGTATACGATACCTAAGCTTCACAAAATTCCGTACAAATAACGGTACATTGCCGGCTCATCTGCATGTTGTACGAAGCAATTGTCCTTTAAATTGACAAAAATTCTGTCCGCAGTGAAAGAGGGTCTTCAGAAATACATTTATGAACCATATGTGGGTTCTAAAAAACTCTAAAGAACTTCTGGATAATCTAAATCTCGCTCTTTCTCTGAAATTAGTTCAATCAAAACTTTTTTTAATTTTCAACCCTGTATACCACCATTCTCCATGCGAAATTGAAAAATCGTCTAAAAAAATAATCCATAGTGCTTTTCAATATAAAAATGGTAGCATACGCTTTAAATTTATTACTTTGGGATCCCATACGGCATATTTTGTTAATAGTGAACAAAAAGGTAAAACATGCCACACAGAGGAACAAGTGAAAGAGTTTCTTATTGACAACATATTTGTTTAATTTGGAGATAGACTTTTTCAACAAATTGTCAGCATTCCTATGTGAACGAACTGTTTGCCTCTCCTCATTTTCATATGAGACGGAGTTCATTCCTACACTTATCAAAAAGAAGAAGATAAAAGAAGCCAGGTCATTTAATTTCACATTCAGATATATTGATCATGTTCTTTCCATTAACAATCCAAACTTTTCTGATTGTGTTCCATTAATATATCATCCAGAACTAGAAATTGAAGAAAAAATAGAAACGGCTTCCTTCGCCTCATTTGTAGACTTATACCTCGAATTTGACCAAAGCGGTCATCTCAATACCAGAATCTATGACAAACGAGACGATTTTTAATTTAGAAATTATAAATTTCTCTCACCTTAGTAGAAATATACCAACTTCACCTTCATATGGGATAGACATTTCCCAACTCATTCGGTATTCAAGAGCTTGTAGCTGCTATTAAGACTTTATAAAATGTCACTAGTGTATGAGCAGAAAGTTGATGAACCAGGGTAATGTCAAAGAACGTCTCGTCCTTTTTCTAAAAAAGTTCATCGGAAGATACCAAGACCTTGTTGATGAATATTCCGTATCAACTTCACAAATAGTACATGATGGTCTTCTCGTTTATTTTATGATGGTATGATACTAAATCCCCAGCGGGAGGGATTGTGCTTGATTTTCTTATGATGAAGACATAATCTTTCAATCAGTTTAATTGAGGTCTGGAGCTGGCATACTAATAACTGCCAATAGTCCTATGCTAATTTTTTTATCACTGTCATTTTGATTAGTTTCTCCTGTTACCTATTCTGACATTAGACTCGGACTTTACTTAAACTGTGGGTTTGTTAATTCTACATCGGCGAGAGGTATAGGGGTAGGCTTGAAATCTCACAAAACATGTTAAACCCCGCCGCATGTATCAAGTCAGGAGCCTCTGACCTTTGTTAGTCTTGTATGTTTGTTTTAATTTTGGTTCATTTATATGTTTCGGAGTTTAGTGTGACGTCCATTTTCGCTGAACTAGTGCACTTTTTTGTTTAGGGGCCAGCTGGAGCCAGCCTTCGGATGCGGGATTTTCTCGCTGTGTTGAAGACCCATTGGTGGCCTTGGGCTGTTTTCTGCTCTTTGGTCGGGTTGTTGTCTCTTTGACACATTCCCCGTTTTCATTCTCAATTTTATTATCATAGGTACTGACGATGTTTGTCTTTCATTTGTCTTTGTAAATTAGTACCTTTACTGTTTAGTCCATTTTTGGTAATATTCCTTTGGCGTTGCTCGGTACTTATACATCCCGTCATTGTGTTATTGTGCTATGGTCAATTTTTGCATTCTTGTCTTTTTTTTTGCTTATGTGCTTCTTCGCTTTGTCTATATGCCATTTTGTTTTTCTTTGTAAGCATATTTGTTTGTTTTTATAGTGATTAAGATTATAACACAATGTCGACTGCTGTACCCCTATTTTTGACATGTTTACCCATTATGTCTGTTTGTTTTGTTACACCTTGTTGTCAATATAATGGATTTTTATGTGACTGTCATACAAGTGTGAGGTTTAGCTAGCTATTAAACCAAGTTTAATCTACTATACTATACTCGTTGTTTTCCATTCGTTTGATGTGTTTGAGTTTTTGATTTTGCCATTTGATAAGGGGCGTTCCGTTCTGAATTTTCATTGGAGTTCGGTATTTTTGTTATTTTACTCTTTTTATTCAGTTAATATATTTATTAAATCTTTCAGTGAAAGGACGTCGTCTATAAAGCTGAACGAGAAGGTAAAGTTCGATGCCACATTGTGTTTTAGAAGTTCACGAAGTCTTTCTTATAAGAATAAAGTCGACACGCAGAGGGACACAGCCTATTCCGATAGGATCCCAAACCATGAATTATATATATATAGAATTACATCTTGTTATTTAGTATTGCTGCAATTGAGACTGTGTTGTGATATATGTTTTTACTTTTTCAGAGCACCCATAAATTTGGTTATTTAGTAGTCTTTGGAAATCACTGTTGAATTGATTCAAACCTGATCTAAATACATAGTTATTTAGAGCTTAAAATGTTGTAAGGTAATTTGTCTATTGCTGAAGACCGTATGTCGATCTGTAGAAATGAAGTTCTAATATTTTGTTATGTTTGTATTTTATAATTAAAATTGATGGAGAAACATAACGATAAAGGTATTGGAAGTCTGAATTCAATATATTTGCGTCCCCTGAAGCCTTCGAAGAAAACAAATAATGGTTTTTACGGTAGTCATCGCAATGATTGAATGTAACTAACACGATTCCAAATTATATTTGATAAACAATAAACAAGATAAAGTGAATCTTTGATATGTGTCCATTTGTTCTTTAAGGCAAATGTTCATTAAACAAACCACTTGACTTTAGATGAATTTGGTTTTTCTAGTTAGGTTCCATTTTGTCATATAGCTCTTAATGTTTTCAGGTATTTCAAGTCATCTTCAATTTTGCTGTCAATTATTTGGGTCTGAGCGTTCCTAATGAAAATAAAACCAAAAAAGCATTTTGTGTTTTATTACCTTTTGAGTTCAATCTCCTGGGAAGGAAACTGTTTTTGTCATTATAATAATCATTTATATCACATACGGTCCTATTTACGCCCCGGAACTCTGAAGAGGTGAATGGTATATAAATAATGAAAAAAAACGAAATTAAAATAATAACCAGACAATAATCATTTCAATGACCGGATACATCGTTTAAACAATGCCATAGGACAACGAGGAAATAATGTTTGACACAATTCGTAGTATAACAACATAGATCGTTACAAGCATGTAAGAGTGCCGACAGATCTAACAACCACAAAGCATCTTCGAAACAACGATGCTGTAGTCAGTTTCGATGATCATTATGTATATCAATCTGTTTTTAATGTTTGCTTATGTTGATAGAGTCATAACACTGAAGATAGGAGATCCACATGTTTGTCCAAAGCCGGTAAAGATAAGGTACGTTTGTCATGATATTCGCGTAAAAGTAAAAGATATTCATTAAAAATATTTAATATAAATGAAATATTCTATGTTTCTTACCACCTTTGGTTTGCATAACTTTTGCCTATTAGCGTTCCTTGTTAAGATATTTTAAACACATATTTCGAAATTGTACACCTGTTTTTACTAAACCTCAGGCGATACATCATTCCATAAGGTAGAATTTGGGTATTGACAATGCTTTATTATATACAATATTATCAATTCTTAAATGAAAAGATTTGCAATATTAAAAAAACAACATTTAGGTATTTGATTCTGAAGACACTTTGTATCTCCTTTGTCCTCTTTCCGTCATAAAGTTTCCGTGCTTGTAAGATTGTTCATACATATGGCTAAACGTTTTGAATTCTTTATATTAAAATGTGAATGTGTAATCTTTTCCTTTCTTCAAGCATACACGAAATTCAAAAGAATGTTTTAATAATTTTGTGTATCATTAAAAAAATCATCATTCAGCATTTTCCTCCATGTTCACAGTGTACCATTTTGCTTTTCATTATATGCAGCCGTCTTACTATCTCACTCTCTGTCTTTCATCAGTGCATAATTTTCAAGTAATACGTTAATACTTCGACATTAATTCATTTCATTGGTCTGTGTGGTATATCCTTTTTTCTAATGTTGCAGTTAAGGTACCCTTTACTATTTCTTTTCACTGATAATGCATCTAGCAGGAGCATGTATGCGTTAAGCTAAACGAACTAGTCATTTAAATCGAGATTATAACAAAACATCTGCAAGTTAAGACGAATTTAATGAATTGCAAAATTGCATTTGATTAGTTGATGATTATTTAAAGTAGTTTTGCTAATGCAGATGGAATATCATCTCAATATAATTCAGCTTATTTTATTTTTTGTTACATTAACCTGCCAAAAAACTTATCATAGATTCCAGGATTTAAAATGTGAACGACAGACGCGCGTTTCGTCTACAAAAAACTCAACTTTTAGACTCGAAAACTCGTTAAAGGAAAAAATAAAAAACGAAGTTGAAGGGCATTGAGGACCGTAAAATTAGAGAGGTTATGCCAAATTCGCATACACAAGCATAGCCTAATGTACACTTACATTTTTATATTTAGAAGATTTTTGTTTTCCTTTTAGTAATCCGTCTGAAACCCAAAAGGAACTAGACATAGAGTGTTGTCCGGACTATATTTACCAGAATAGAAAATGTGAAGGTAATATTGCCTTGTTTCATACATCAATTATATAGTTCATTGTGTTTGTGTGTTTTTTCATCGTATGAACAGATCTAGAGTGTAAATGTTTTGAATATGTCAATGAGAAAAAAAAAAGCATATCTAGAAGTTAAAAGCTAGACTTTGATTATCGATAGATGACTATACGATATCTCAAATTCTGTATCACCCGGAGCCTAAACAAGTCGGGAATACATTTATATCAGAATTGATAAAGGCTGATCGTTTAAAGAAAAGAGAGGCGAAAGATACCAAAGGGATATTCAAACTCATAAGTCAAAAAACAAACTGACAATGCCGTGGCAAAAAAACGAAACCGACGAAAAGACAGTACACAATACACATAAAGAAAACTTAAGACTGAGCAACACGAACCAAAACAAATACCAGGGGTGATCTATGTAAATCAACTGATTTAAACACAAATTTGGAAAATATTTGTGTTTGATAACAAAACTTTATTTATGCAATTTTTCGACTTTGAACATGAAATAAGATTTCGAAATATATTTTAATTTGTTTATTAAGTAAAATTAAATTATATAATGAAACATTCTACATTTAGTGTTATACTGAAATTGCAAATGAAAAAAAAGTACAACTTGTTAAATCTTTTCAGAATCATGGATACTTTTGCACAATTTTCGATAAAATATTATTTGCCAGTTTTTCAATATCCTCTTATATAAAATGCAAAACAAATGAAAAAAAAAAATCATAAATATTGTTTATGTCTCATTATTTCAGGGTTTTCGTTTGGTCCTTGGTTTTTGACTTTTTCACTTTTAAAGATTGCTTTGGTTTTTATTTATCTGAGTATTAGATGGTTTTAATGTTAACAAATGTATTTCTGCAGCTTGTCCGCGAGGAAAATTTGGTCAGGATTGCTCACTGTCATGTTTGAGGAATTACTACGGAGTGCAGTGCAAACAGATGTGCAGCTGTACAGGTAACACGAAATGTGATCCAATTAATGGCTGTGTCTGTTATGAAGGATATACGGGAAAACACTGCATAGATGGTAGGCAAATGTTTTAAGCTAATGGTTTATATTTGGGAGTCACACTGCCTAAAATAAAAATGTTAAATTCTATCCAACAAATTTAATCATATGATATATAAGGGACGCGTGTGATAGAGAAGACAAATGAACAAACCATGTAGCCATATTAGCTAGTTGACCCGGCGGCCCTTAGAACATATGTGTTCATTGTTAAAAAACCACAAGGAAAGAATTCCAAAAAGATGTAGAGATTGTTATAAACCTGCACTGCTTGATATCTACTTCATGATTTATTTTCTATGACTTTAAGATTCAAAAGAATAACGTTGTAACGACATAAATGATGTCATTTGATGACATTCCTCGACGTGTTCAATAATTTCTTGTTCAACGCAAGATGAATACCTCATACGTAGAACGATAAGTTCAAATACGATGCTTTTGTACGGTTAAGTTGCACTTGATACTTTTGAGAAGCAATGACATAAATCCATGACATGAACGCGCATTGTACAATTCATACAATAGGATTTCATCTTCTATATTTACATTTGTTGGGAAAACTGTATCATTAATAAAGGCTATAGTGGTATACCGCAGTTCGATAGTCATAAATCGATTTACCTGAAACAAATCCGGGTCACAAACCAAAACCGAGGAAAACACATCAACTATAAAACGAAAACAAAAAAAAACAACATAAACAGTGAACTGCTACAAAAACAACGCAAACATACATACTATTTGATAACAACTGCCATATTCCTGACTTGGTACAAGACATTTTAAGAAAAAATGGTGGGTTGAACCTGGTTTTATGACTAGCCAAACCTACCGCTTATATGGCAATGTAAAATATAACGTTACCTTGATTATTTCTTTGTTCTTTTAATTCATTTTCATTCCCACTTCTCGTAAATTTTACCTTTGCTGTTTTTGTGCCCTTTAGTGTTGATGGTAAACCTATGAAAATCTCTATCAAATTTATTCACAAGTTGTCTGGACAGCATCATTTATTTCTGGTTTTTGATTTCTTTTGGTACATGTTCTAGTCTTCCATGAGTGGGTGCGTGTCATTTGATATTGTCTCATTGTCTCACTTACCATATCTTGTAATACACATTTTATACTGTAGTATAAACTGATTAATAAGAGCTAAAATGTTCTGTTCAGGTTTGTATGTTTCTATTTTATTATTTCATCTACTTTAAATACGATGATTTACATTACCTTATATATATTCCTTAATAATGTTTTCATAATTCATATTTATTTACAGTGTGATTTATTTTATTTGAAGTTTGTCAACCTGGAAGATACGGTGTGAACTGCAATGAGGAATGTTTCTGTGCACAAGACGCTAAGTGTGATCAGGTAACCGGCGTTTGCTTGTGTCCCGCAGGGTGGTTTGGAGTTCACTGTACAAAGGGTAAATACAACATAGAACAAATGTACTTCCTTGTTCCAAAATATTCGTTTAAGAGCTCAATTTCTTGCATTCGGAAAGTAAGTCAAGCAACATAACTCGAAGCTGTATCTTCCAGGTTGAAGTCTTCTAGTATACTATAATGTAAATTAACGTGTGTTAAAAAGAAACTTTCAACAGAACAAAAAGTCGTAAGTCATAAAGACGAAATTCAGAATGTACGAGAACAGTTACTTCATTTACAAAGTGTTTCAGCTGAAATGTCTTTATTAAAGTACAAGTGTTATAAGCCGAGCATTATATGTATTTTTAAAATACCTTTACGTCAAAACAAAACTCAACAGTCAATATCATATGACTCCAAAACTTATGAGTTGTATTAAGTGAGGTCGATTATAGCTACGTTTAGCGATTTAACTGTAAAATATAACAAATGCTTATAAAAAGAGATCACGGAAAACATTGCAAATGACTTGTAAACGCTTATGTAAAGTCACGTCTAAATATAATTATAACTTTTATTTTTATAGAAACAATATTTCTGCTCAAAGAGGAAAAATTAAAAAAAAATCAGTCTGTATACAAGATAAATATGTGAGGATTTGAAAAACAGAGTACTGTATAACCGTTTAAAAAAATCATTATATGTTATCAGAATATCTTGTAGAATGCCCATTTGGAAAATTTGGAAAGGATTGCAATGGAACTTGTGACTGTTTAGATGGCGTATCATGCGACATCATAACCGGAGAGTGCAGTAAGTGCAAGTCCTATTCTAGTAGAAGACAAGATTATACAACAAGGTTCTAATATATATTCATTATAATAAAACATTTACTGTTTTTGCTATTTCCTCAAGTGGAAAGTTTTAAAAGTCGTATAAATATATATGGGGTAAAACATAGAATATAATATTAACGGAAAACATGGAGACAAAGACTGACAACAGGGAAAGAATTTGTATACCAACTTATTTCCGCGGATATTTTGTTCAGAAGATTTTGAGCTTTTTTATCTTTGTTCGTGTATTCATTCAGAGAAGATCCAAGTTCGACATGGGCGCGACTTTTCATACTAACGTTATTTTTTTAGTCGTAAAACTCGCAAAAAATATATCACTCCAGACATATTAAGTTACTTTATAGTATCAGATATGAATAAGTGTGTTTATTTTGATTGAAAGATATATTATCTTGTTGTTTTTCACATACCTTTGGTACTTAGTTAGTTTGAATGTCCGAAAAGTAATACAAATATCACAAAAAGATGTGTGGTGTAGTTTGCAATCAAATCAAAAGATATTTTTTAAACATTCATCATAGTAAGGATACTCATAACAGAGATCAACATATGGTATTTTTTTCCAAAACAAGAGAAAAGACAAAATTAACGTATGAATAACCCCTTGAAAATATCATACATACACATTTTATTCATTTTAAAAGGTTTACGTGTTTACAACTTACATCTAAAATATTTGTTGATTTTGATCTTGTTTACGTTTCAGTCGAGAAAGAAGATCCGAATTTAGATGGAGACATTAATGAATCAAAAGGTACAGTTATGATTTACATAATGATGGCTGCTGCTGTTATTGGTTTGGTCTGTGTTGTAACGATGATCTTGAAAGCTAAAGAAGCACTATGTCGTAATGTACAGAAACCAAAAAAGAATACTACAAAACCAAAGATAAAACGCCGGAAGGCCCAACAAAGATCATCAACCTACAGAGATAACGCTCAGACTGGTTCGTTTATAATAGAAACAGAAGTATCAGTGTTGCAACTTCCATTTGAAGATGAAGACTTATATTGTGAAATAGAAGATATCAATGTTACAGAACCCGGTCGGTATTAATGTCAACATGATTGTACAAACTTTAGTCGAAATTCATAAAATATCGATGACAACAGATCAATCATGGAAACTTAAGATATATGGACAAATAGAATCGGACAAGGCCAAACCTTTTTAAAAGGATGATATTTCCGTAGTAGGTGCGCCTTATAGTTATATCCTGTTCCGGGTGTTCTTATTTAATCTTCATGAAATTGAAATCTTCAAATCTAAAAAGCTTGTCTTTCATTATGGCTTATGTGTTTTGTCTGTATGCTATTTTGTTTTTCTTTGTTGACATATTTCTTTGATTTTATAGTGATTAAGATTATAACACAATGTTGACTGCTGTTCCCCTGTTTTTGACATTTTTACCTATAATATATGTTTGTTTTGTACACACATTGTTTTCAATATTATGGAATTTTATGCGACTGTCATACAAGTGAGAGGTTTAGCCAGATATAAAACCAAGTTTAATCCACCATTTTCTACTGAAGGAAATGCCTGTACCAAGTCAGGAATATGACAGCTATTTTCCATTCGTTTGATGTGTTTTTGCTTTTGATTTTGCCATTTGATAAGGGACTTTCCTAAGTGAATTTTCGATGGAGTTCGGTAGTTTTGTTATTTTACTTTTTGCATTACAGTAGGAATTATTGACGATAGCAAATACTTGTTTCACTGATTCCGTTCATGTTGCCGATGTTAAAACTCATAAATCCATAGTGTGTAAGAGTCTTATAATAAGTAAATTGGTATGTTTCAAAATGCGGCAGGTATCTTCCGTGGGTCACTGGACATGAATGTAACAAATATAGGTCGACGATCAGCCTACAATAAAAAGCATACCCAAAACTGTTTAGGAAATAATAAAAGAAACAAAAGTACCTACAAGATGGAACATTTCCTTTGTATTTAAAGTGATATAGATTTTTGAACGCTCTGGACTATCAACTATTATATTTGTTTCTGTCATTGTACCTCTCGGGTTATGAACTGACATTCAATCCTAATAACTGTTCCGTGCATATTCAGTAAATTTTGTGTCATAATATAACTCCAACAGGGAACTCATTAATCTCAAGTACTTTGAATAAATAGCATAAATCCATTAGAAAGAAAATCTTCTTATTTTAGAGCAGCTAAATTGTCTATCGGAGCTGCAATTTAAAACTAGAAATTCTTCAAATCTTATTATGTAATTATTGTACTTTTGTATCCATCATACACCATCTTCGATATACCGATATATGTTTTCCGAGAAATATTTCTACTTTTCGTGAATGCACAAGATTGTTTAAATATTATACTCAACTGAATAAGAACTATTGTATATAACACTGATTAATTGATTTTATAAAATGTTACTGAGAAAGTCCTAATAAAACTAATAAACTTTTATTTATCATAAGTTATGTAGTTGCTTTTTTTTTTTGTTTATCGTTTTTACATTATTGTTATGAAAAAAGGCAAATAACTAAGATAGAAATTGATGTAAATAAACTCATCATAGATATCAGAATTGAAATTTTGTATTTGCGCCAGACGGGCGTTTCGTCTATAAAAGTCTCATCAGTGACGCTCGAATCAAAATATGATGATATTTACGTAATTAATCATTTGAGAATATGAGAAGACGACAAAGAGAAAATTGACTAATGAAACAAATAAAATTACATCTAGACAGGCCCTTTCCACAAGGAAGACAAAATACTAAAACTTGAACCGGTAAACGTCTGGAAAATCTCACAATCAAAATACAATCAGATCAACTCATCATCAGAAAATAAGAACTAAACTTTCATCATTGACGTTTAACACACTACTACTCTGCAACTTAAGTTAAAATACAATGATGTTCAAATTTCATGCTTATTTTGCGCTAGAAATATAACATTTCTTTCCAAGCAGTTAATAATCATGGGGTTCACATTGGCCCCTGTTAATAGTGCGTACGTTATTTTATATTTTTTATCTGATTGTTTGTATTCAGTGCCTTTTAATGGAATGTACTTAATTGGTTGTTTGTCAATGCGTCAGATGATGTCAAACAGACTTTATACAGTCATTTTTGTACAATATTATTATATAGGAAGGACACAATGTACCAAAACAAATTTCGAAACTCAACATTTAAATTTTGTAGATTAAAAACCTTATAAAGCGACAAAAAATAAAATGTAAAATAAAACATGTGCTGTTTATTTCAAACCTTCCGGAATACAGCGGATTTTGGCATACAATTGTTTAGAAGATAAAAGGAAATACGTTCCACTTTTTTTGTTGAAAATCATTTTCTGTAAATTGAAATTAAAAACCTATGTTGTATATGGGGCCCCTCATCATGACCACAACATATCCTGTTTTAGTGTTCTCGTTTTGTTGACTTCAGTCTATTGTCTTTTCATGTAAATTAATGTCGTTTTTTTTTTTGGCGTAACGTATTTTTGATGCGCTTTTTATTATTTTTTATCTCATTAAACTCATGATTGTGCACTTAAGAACATCAAGACATTAATTTGAAGACCAAAAGTTTGTTTTCATAACTTCAACAATATGCCTATTAACAAGCAATCAAATTTCCATACACTTTACCGATGTTTAAATCCCTTAACTCGATTCAAAAGAGACATATCAAGGCAACATACAAATACTTGAGAGAAACATACACTCAAAAGGAGCGAGACCGGGGACATCGCCAGGGTAAGTGTCTCCTGCTATGCATGCATCACTCGCCATGAGAATTCACACTCAGTCAAAATGTCACAATCAGAAAAAGGACATAATCGGTTATATTCAGATCAGACGACCATATTGGTATCTAAATATCTAAGACTGCGAAAACATGTCACACCGTATCGGTGAATTAATTCGTCATGTTGACCGTAAAACCTATGTGGTATTGATTTCAGTCGTACTTCCTCGTAAGTCTTTTGGTGCATTTTGAGCACACACCTGTTAAATAAGTCCGTACAATTTAAACATGCACGAACAATACATACACGTATGAACTGATATATGTAAACATAACACGATGGAACATAGAGTATGTTACATGCTGAGAAATGGGAAAGAGAGGCGAAAGATACCAAAGAGTCATTCAAACTCATTTAGACAGTTAAAATCATCCTGTTTGTCATAGAGTAACGTTTGAAGTTGTTCATCTGTATCAATATCTAGGTAGAGATAAAGATTTGATGCAGACCTTCTACTTCCGGTAGTAAACGTAGTATTTTCCCCTGGTTATATGAGGTGTTATCAATTATTGAAATGCAGGTTATTGAGTAAAAGCTATTTGTTTAAACTTTGAGGCTCTACTTATACATGTAAAAAATTGTATTTCAACAGCAAGAAAACGATATATACGACTTGTATATTTACTGCAATAACATATGATTGTTTACTTGAATTATCAAACAAAGAATAAAAAGCATACACAGAAAAAAATAGTACCCTGCAAAACTCTACTATGAATAAACTGGTAGACATCATTTGGACTCTGACTGCAGTAAGAGAAACCTATTAGGGAATCAAAATATTTCTTCAGACAAAGATTACAATCTTTATTTCTTAGTTAACAAGCATTCTTAATCATACAAAATGTCTATCATTTGCGCACAGGATGTGAAAAACTGATATTTTTCATTGTATGTTTGCAGGTTTTCTGTGATCTGTGTACCAATTAACTCGATTTGTTTTAAAGAATATGTTCGTATCTAAATTATAGGCAACATTAGTTTGCCAAAGTTCAAATCTGTTAAATCAATGCAGAACATGCAAATCTAAATAAAAGTAAAATCTGAAGCAACTGCATGCACTAGAAAGGAAGCGAAACCGGGTTATTTTAAATTTTACTTAAAATATATTCTAGATTCGATGTGATTAATTATAAATACATAATTAGACATGAGAATAATAATAAGAGGAAGATTTTTTAGGACTTTAATACTGTTATAGGGGAAACATAAAATATGGAAATACCAATTTAGATCAAATATCCTGTTATGTATTAAAAACAATTCAAAAGATCAATATTTCACTTATCGATATATAAAGTTAATATTGCTTAATCTTACCATGAAACAACATTTCTACCTATTTTGTGTGTATCTTGGAATTGGATCATGCTACTCTTTGAAAGTAAATGATTTAAACGTGTCAGGAAAGTTGAAATAAGGTAAGTTAGATATGCTGTTTGTCATTAGTATTGTTATTCGATGGAGTAACTCTGATGTACGACATACACATTAAGATATGATATCCTATATAATAATTTATATGGTTAACTGTCCAATTCCTTTGTTCAATTTAGACCGTAATGTATAAATGAATTTTTAATCACTTTGCCTCCTGTCTGGAAAGGCACAGTGTTTCTGTAACCGTTCATACGCAATTGGTATAAAGCATTTAATTGAAGAGTTATTTATTGAATCGTTCATATCTTGGGCCAACTTCGTTTTTCAATTTCATATTTTTATCAGAATATTCCTGGTTTCTTTTTTCTTTTTGCAAATCTACACCAGGAGGCAGGCATTGTGCATGGCAAGGATCAAACTGTCTTGGTCTTCACTTCGGGCTGTTTATACTATACAGTTATAGCATTTGCCTTAGCGAAATGTGAAGATTTGTTCATCACAGAAAAGTCAATATTTCAGTAGTCCTAACAACATTTCAAAAAGTGGCGCAAACTTTGATTAAGGCAAACTATGCCTAGAGGTAAAAAAAATACTACTTTGAATGAACTGAAAAGTTAATGAGCAGAAAATATGCAACAAAGATGAAATTTAAATGCTATTTGACGTCAGTACAATAGTTGGGTTGATGATAACCTCGGGAACGAAACATATAATTTTAAAATGAAATTGAAACATCATTTATCTTACATATAAATTTAACTTTTATTTCAGTGACCAGTTCGTAGCGACACAGCAAAAGTTCGTAGTTGAGAGTTGTCCTAATTACTTTGAAGATGATGGGATGTGTAAAGGTAGACAAACTGTAAAATAAAGTAAATAAAAGTGATGTACAGTAGACGTCGACATTGCTGCAAAATGAAATAATATAAATAAAATTGAACATTTACTTGTGGGTTACCATTTAGCATTTAATCCAGCATTTATTGATATATTCTAAATAATGGTGTAATTCTGCATAATTTGACGGTCATGACTTTGTTATTTAAAATGAGATATACCCATAATAGAAAACAAAGGATGTGGGGTATCCATCCATGACACTAAATCAGTATGTGCACAGCAAAAACACAAAAAAACATAAGTTAGTGGATATTGATAGTGTTATAACAACTACAAAAAATATAATTCTGTGGAAAACTTTTGTCAGATTTAAAAATCTGAAAAACGTTAAATCAATTTTATCCCTCAACCTGTATCTAGACTCTTGACGATTTAAGAATAATATATGTTGCCCTCTGCATCGGTGACAGAGTGGTCATATTACCAATATTTCAAATCAGTGGTTGTGATTTTAAACGTCGCTCGTTGCGAAGTATATTCGACTCCGATCTTTATTGACAATGATTGCCTGTTTTCCTAGCGAAAGTCAGTGCTGTACTTGAGCTTCTTACAAATCATTTTCGAAATCGATTATAACACTATTCAAATTTGTGTTTTGCATATGTCGTTTATATATACAACTGTTATTCAAATTTCATGTTTGCTAAAGAACTTATACTTTTGTGGAATGTTTTACATTGTATTCATAATGTTTATACACAAGGAGTTATAAGTCATAGGGTCTGTTAAAAGTCATAATAATGTAACCTTTTTGATGTTGTTTACTATCTATCAAATTGTACAGAAAATTATCTCAAATAATGTAAGCCATTTTATAACATAATTTCTACCTTTACCTTTTTATTTTTCAGATTGTCAAAATGGTCACTATGGTAACAGATGTGAAAAGGAATGTGTTTTCAGGCATGCGACTGGCTGTGACTCCGTAACAGGTACCTGTATTTGCTCAGCTGGGTGACACGGAAAATACTGTATACAAGGTAAACCAATAATGTGTAAATATAAAACAGACAAAACTTGCAAAATAGTTTGAATTAAATTTCGAATTCAACAATTCATGTATATTTTAATTCTTCGTTTTTGCGCTGTATTACCATTTTTTTGGTTTATTAATTTTCAATATCATTAAAATCATTTTTTGGGATATTGACCAGACAGCAACTGAACAACTTAGTTATAATAATGAAGGCATTCATCCCTATACCCTACAACTATCAATTATACCTGAATGGAAAATGGTCATTAATTAAAAAAATATGAAAAAAATAAGGTTCTTACTCCATCAGGCAATGTTGAGCTAAGCTAAATTTGGCTATTCTGTTAATGTCATTTTGGCAATATAGCTGCTACTTTTCTACATATTTACACATCATAA